GTGCGTGTGGGAATTCTGCAACCTTGTTCCAAATCAGATATTTTGTTGTATAAATGACAATTTAACCATATCTCGAACGTTATTGGCAATAAGTAAGTATCCTCGATCAGCACCGTCTTTTGCAATTATAACATGGGGACATCCCTTTTTGATGAAGGGAAATCAGCAGAGCTTTGAGTTGACTGAGTCTATGAACTACCTTTTCCTGAAACACCGTCACCTATCCTTCTGGGTTTTTAGTGGTTCACTGTTCTAAAACCTTTGATTAACTTGCTGATTATCGTCCTTCTAACTCATAATGAAAAAAATCATCGTGGCGCACTATTACTTGCGCTGGTCTACAAAATTCACTGTTTGAAACATTAAATCATGAATTATGTAAACCCGCTCCGCAGATTTGCAACCTCACTTTCTAGCTTTTTGACCGAAACCCAAGTACATTCGACGTCAAGTGTAACTTTGAGTTTCCCAACTCCTTTTTGTAATCTTGTAGTCTCAAGAGGGTGTCTGCATTTACGATCAGCAGTTAGATGCCATTGCTGTTTCCTAATCTTGTCTCCTTGTGCTGAAAACTTTGGTAACTGTCTAATATGACGGATTTCGAGCTTTCAGCTCTTTGCAACTTAAATTCACTTGAGTCATTGGTTGTTTTATTTTACTGCTTTTCAATCCTGTAATGGCCATTCAGTTTCAAACCGTAGTCTTCATGCGACGGTAGTGATGCTAGCAAGTCGACAGATGTGAATTATGTATAAGTCTTCTCTTGAAGTTCTAGGTAATTTGTAAGCTTTTTTGGGTTGTAAATGATGATGCATCTATATTTGCAACTTAGTTTTTATCTTTAAACTGTTATGTGCTATAGACCGTGAATCCTTGAAATCGGCTATCTGTACTGCTAATTTTCTTCGTGTAAACTAAGTTCATAGTGTTGACGTACTGGGACTGACCTATACACTCAAAACGATACATGTCAAACATGGAGCGGAACCATTCGCTTTGGTCAACAACTCCAGCCAAATAATCGATAAATTAACATGTATCTTCGAATGTATTGGTCATCAAGACAGCATTGTTGTTTCTTACTTTGATTTCGCTCATTCTATAATCCTTCCATTGACTTGTTCGCGTGCTGTTGCCAACCAAAAAATAATGCACCAAGATACAAGCTTACAGTGTAAAACGACAAATTCATAGTTCTCGCTTCCCCTTCCATTTAGATTTTCTCACGTTCCGACCCATTCTTCATTTCACCTGTGTACAGTATAGGTACACTGCCTGTTTCAGGTTCTCGGTTTCTGGCTTCATATTCCTGAAACAAATGTTTAACTTAATCACAATCTTCATTTTGAACGGCATCAAAAGTAAACTTAAATGTTTACATCATATATGCTTCCACGAGATTCCTGCTCAGTTGTTGGACGCCGAAGTATGCGTTCATTAAGCTCTAATCTGTATACTAGCGAAGACGAATTCCGTATTGCATCGGTCCTCACAAAGCTAGATAATGCAAACCGCGCCGCCCATCGCATCGAGTGGGGTGGGCATGACCATCGCACAATTAGGTGCACTGAGGTACCCACCTGATAAGTGGGTGATTGACCGAATATCTCAATCCTTGCTCCTCCTAAGCCGTAACATTCGACCAAACAATTTATTTTTCAATCACCAAAGCTCAATGCCAAAAAGCATTGTAGTTGATCCACCGTAGAATGAATTACCAATTCTGTGACCTCAGCAATGCCTGAATCCGTGATTTACGCGTGGATTCATGCAGTTCGACCAATAAGTTGGTTTCTCCCGCACAATGAAATTGCTGACTATTTGTCTGCTATGTACTGGAGAGAAGACTTCAAGATCCTAGGAGTATAAGTCACTTTAGTTATAGCGGGCTTGTCTTCCTGATGCTTTGTTCGCATATCAGACGGTGATGACACTCGTTCAACGTAGGTGTTGCATTGAAGTACCAAATAAAAGACTCACTCATTGATTGGATTACTATCACTAATTGGATACCGTCGGGCTACGCAGAGCTGAATACTCTCAGGCGCGTCCCCGGGTTGTGGATAGGGGGATACCTTCGCTGAAGGTTAGCTTTGGCATACCGCAACAAATAAGCAGTCGCGAACAAACAGCGGCGGCACTACCAGGGTGTGATGGATTTCAGGCTGGTTACCTGGCTCCTGTTTAAAAGCCATGTAAGCCCAGTGACAGTGCCGTGATAAAGGTCGATGTGACTGGCCTTTTTAAACTAAAATCACTGACCCCCTCACTTCCGAGGCCAGGGATCACTTCATGCTACCTTGCAGCTCGCACTTGGTTGTGCAAAGGCTATAAGTGCGCCCTCAAAATAAAAAAAAACGCTGAATGACGCTGGGGACGTCTCTCGTACCAAAATTCCAGGTAACTTCATGATCATGATCATGTCTGGGGCTGGCTTATCCTTTTCAAGGAGCCAGCCGCAATAAAGTAAGTAAGTACTAATCGTGTGTGAAACTGTTTAAGCATTCAGTTAGTGTTCGAATGGGAAGCCTCATCAGAAGGCGTGTTGTTCGTCATCTAGGCATACGCTTCCCATAACCGCAGTTTTCATATACAAAAGGATGATTTCTCAGTCTACTCGCTGAACTCATCCGGGTAAGTCGAACTACAGATATAGTTGTGCTGGCAGAAGACCTGAACGTGCAGACTGGAAAACTAAGCGCTTCAGATGTTTGTCTAGGCGATCTCTGTGCACTTCTCTCCCAGCAGACGGAAAACAAAGATCGACTACTTCTGTTTTGCACACACTATCATCTGTTCCCGTCCAGTACCAACTCCCGACACAGTTCTCGGAGGACGGCAACGTGGCCACCCAATCCATCCGGTAAGCTGGCTCAAATGGACCACATAGCAGTAAGCTACCGTTGACGTGGCTCAGTACGTACCTACGTTGAGTTTGATCACGCATTAGTTTTGATACAGTTCACTCTTTGACTCATTGGTTGCCGACAGAACCGGAAACGTAGTTAACAAATCATCCTTTATCTGACTCAACCGTTCATGCCCGCTATGAATTAAAACTAAAGCATGAGCTAAGCGCATTGAAGCGTGCTTGCGTAGATGAATAGTGTGATCATGTTGAACGAGCAATGCATTCTGCAGCAAGCTTTACTTGTGGCTCTGGACTTCAGTTCTGCCTGAGGCTTAGGATGTCTAATGAGTCAATATACCTGATGAAGAAAAAACGACATCTCGACCGACCCGGCGTCTGCAACGTCAGCTCACAAAGAGTCTGAAAAAGGACCGTGGAAACTGGTAGACAACAATAGCTAGTGAAATGGGAGTAGCAGGTGCATCACGGAATATTCAAAGACTGTTTCACGCAACACGAGAGGTCTGTGGGCCTCAGTTAGTGAAACGATCCGTAGCAAAAGTGGACAACGTGAACAACGGCTTGACCGGTGGGTGGAGTATTTCAGTGAACAGCTTAGCTAACCAGCAGCTAAGTTATCTCATCTGTTGCAGCTGATGCTCCATGAGCAGTGCCACGTTAATCTCTAACAGAAGCAGACATACGATCTTGTATTCAAGCTCTTTCCTTTAAACTTTTGTGTGATGACCTCGTAGGTCCTACTCCTGATTTACTGCGTAACATCTGGTCGCCCGAGCGCATTATTTGATCTTAATGTGATTCAATGGTCGATCCAATCTTCAAGAAGAGATCTTGCAACCATCGATCAAATCACCGCAAGATCATTTTGATGCCAATCGTCACTGATGTCTTAGCCTCCGGCATACTTCGACTTCTGACACCCTTCAGGGATACAACTACCCCTGAACAATAAGCAGGATTTGGATATACCGCGGTTGTATCGACCAAATATTCACGCTGCGTCAAGTCCTTGAGTTACACACCACCGACCAGCGGTTGTAGTGTTCCTTGACCCTAAAGTAGCTTTCGACTCAGTTGACTCCGAAGCCCTCATGGGTTCACTTCTTCGAAAGGAGATGTCGCTGAGGCATGTAAACTGACTTTGGGTCACTGTAGTCGCATACTTCTGGTAGCTTGAGGGTCTATGATGAGATAAGTAGATCGCTCAAAACCCGCATCGATGTTCCCCAAGGATGCCCGATTTTGCCATTCCTATTCAACTTAATGGTATACGCAATGCTGGAGAACGCACTTATTGGTCTCCTAAATGTTGGTATTGAATGGGCAGCTGGGGTAAAACCATGTGATCCAGAGTACGTTGATGACATCGTTTGCCTGTTCGAATGTGTGGAGAAAAGCCCAGGAAGCGCACTTGACGGGTTAGTAATTTCTGTTCTTCCGTTCGGTACGGGTTTTGCACTTTCAAAGTTCAAAGTGATGCTGCAAGACTGGGTGTCCCCAAGTCCTGTTCTGATGCTAGATGGTGAGGAATCAACTGAAGTCGACTGCTTCTCGTACTTGGATAGTTGCGTGACCACCGATGGTAGCACGGCAAAGGAGATAACCACCGCATTTCCAAGGCGTGAGTAGCAAGGCTGAAACACTTTAGGCGTAAATGCGACGTCTCAATAGAGTTAAAATGCCATGCATATTATGTTACCTTTTGTTCATTTCTGCTTTACAGTTGTGAGACCTTGAATTTGCCGGTGAAAGACACGACTAGAGGTTTTCGACAACGGATGCTTACATCGTCTGTTCGAGATTGAACGGACTGAACGAATTATTAGTTTAGATGTAAATCGTGGTGTGTTTAGGAATTTATCGCACGGCACCTTGTTTGCACCTGTCGCCCCAGGCTGGGGAAAACCACGCGGAAGTCAACAAATGACGTAGAGATGGGGCATGAAGAAATGCACAGAGTGATTAGATAAGCTACGTATTTACCGTCTTTCAGACTGGGGTCCCAAAGACTCCGTACCTGTTGGGCGTGAGACACCAAATGACGTGGAAGTGAACTGATAGCAGTGACGTTTTTGTTATCAACTCTTATAAGACCAGAATGAAAATTTGCGTATTCACAGTCTGATTGTGTACTCCGTGTGTTGACCATGAAAATTCTCTTTCTTTCCCTGTTCCCCAAAATAGACCCAACCCCTATATACCTCACACATTCTCACTTACCTTGCATGCATTACGAGTTTGACAGCTATTTGTGAAGTTTGCTTCTGTGCATTTCACAGCGTGAAGAGGACGATGATGTAAACTCTGCTCCGGGAAATTGTCTTAAAACAGTTGATAGTTTCATGGATGAGAAGTCAGTGTAATATCACTAGGTCTACGGCATTACGTCAGCTGACCAACAGAGACAACTTAAATGCGTGCCATAATGCCCCATCTACTCAGATCCTTATCTTGATTGGTATTTCACTCTTGTTATCTCTTCTCATGAAACTGATCCGGTTACTCTTGCTCCCTTCTCAGTGCGTTTCAATTGTTCTACGAGGCTGCTGAATTGGGACACGTTGCTGCACGTGAATGGGTGGCTATGGGCACACTGATGGGTTGGGGATTTTACCAATCCCTACCGAAGGCGCATTCTGATTTCGTTCAGTTAGCGCAAGAGGGCAATCCGCGCGGTCAGTTTGGACTTGGTTTTATGCACGCAAACGGCTTGTTTGTAAATGCTAGTGTGCCACACGCCTTGGTTTATTTGACTTTCAGTGCTCTCGGTGGTGATGAATTGGCGGAAATGACAATGGTAAGTATAATAATGCTGATATCCCCAAATTAACCGTCAGGGTTCTATAAGTTGTCCATGAGATAATATACGCATTCGCCTGTACCCAGAACAGTTCAAGACTGTAGTCAGTGCATAGATGCACGCATTCGTGCACGGATCGTCATGGCCTATGTACTGGGTTATCACTAGGTAGGTATGATCGGTGATTTTGGCTACTTATTATGCCTGAAGTAGTCAAACTGAGATCCTGATTAAGGCTTCTGAGAATGACTATTTTGGTGTGATATATATATA